AAGTTCAATAATTATGTGAAGGTATAGTTACGATCTACTAATCATGTAAATTTCAGTCCAAGCCCAATTAGCATGTAAATGGATCACAAAGGCCCAATAACATGTAAGTGGGTAATTTGGGCCCAATAGGCATGTAAATGGACCACAAAGGCCCAACAAACATGTAACACATAATTCAGGCCCAAATTAACATGTAAATGGGTCGCATGGCCCAATAAACATGTCATGGAAATTATTGGGCTCAATATACACTTGAATGGGCCCTTAAGGCCCATTGGCCATGTAACGTGAATATTAGGCCCAATAAAATTGTTATCGATGTATTTCACCCATTTGTTATTATTTCGTTGATTGTTTTATTTCGAGGTTTACCGAATTGAATATAAAAGTCTTTTTTTTTTTGTAAAAATGACGTTCTTGGCCAATAAGCCTCAATTTTTCAATTAAGGCCGAATCTTAATAAAAATAACACTTTTGTCCCCATTTTGCTCTTAACTTGTATTTATAGCTAGTTTTTGGTAAAATAACATTTTAAACCCATTTTTGTCAAAAATATCATTTTTGGCTTGATTTTTGTGAAAATGCATATTTTTCTGGTTTTTGGCTTTTCTGACCTGGTTGTGGGAAAATTTGTAGAAAAATCATCGTAAGTCGAAATTTGGATCCGTAAATTCTGGAAGCTTGTAAATTTTATCTAATTTGTTCACAATGTTTCTCAAAATGTTTAATGGCCTCTAACAAGTGTGAAATTGCTCACCTTCACAGGCTGGTCCGAAATTATTTCAAATTTGATAGACAGTGTTGTAAAATTCGCCAAAAATTGTAGAAAATCGTATGAAAACGTGAGAGTAGTAAATTTAAAGGTATTAACCTGAACGTTTTGTATGTAAAACAGTTTTGTAAAATATGGTCATTAAGTTGGTCAAAACAGTCCGAGATTGGACCAAACGTTTCTGTCAAGGGCTGATTTATGAGTTTAGTTTATAGATCTTTGAACACAACTCTCATTTTTGCTATTTTAAGAGTATAAATCCCAGATCTACAAGTTTACATGTATTATATGTGATAGCACATATTTTTCTCAAGGTTTTCATGTAGATCCAAGTGATAAACTTAATATTATTAACATATTTCTAGATTTATGAAGAAAATAACACATAATCACAAAATCAACTAACAAATCACACAAGACATGCATATAACACATAGATCTACACATTTTACTTGTATTCTCCCCCAAAAATTATGTAAAAACCAAAAACAAGGGGGTATGAACTCACCTTTGCTTGATGTTTCGGATTTTTAAGAAGAAGTGGAAGAGATTTTTGGTCCTAACACACCTTTGTTGTAGATCTCGAGCTTATGGAGGTTTTCTAAGAGTATGATCACCAAAATGTTTAGAAGAAGTGATCTAACATGAGAGAGGAGTTATATAGCTTGGATATGTAAAAACTTACCAAGAAATGATGATATTCTTGTGAGAATCCTCTTGAACACAAGTGAAATTTCGAGATTTTGGAGGAAGAAGAAGAAGAATGCTTGAGAGTGATTGAGGAAGTGTTTGAAAGAGTGTGTGTGTGTGTGTGTGTGTGTGTGTTTTTGGCTCTCGGCCGAAAGTAGAAGAAGAGAGGGGAGAGAGTTGGTGAAGTGACTTGCATGGAAGTATGAGAGTCCTTGTAGGGATATATGTTTAACAATATGGAGGTGGCACCTCCTAACTCAACTTTTATTACATTTTTTTTTGTTTAATTGATGTTGGGCCGAGATCTTTGGGCCAAGGAGTGGGAATGGAATAGTTTGAGCCCATTAATATTTAGTTAGGATTTTTGGAACCTAAACATAAACTTTTCGGCCCATTGGGCTCATTAGATAGCTCACGGCCCATTTTGAAAGAAAAAGGGAGTTTATGGCCCATTAGGGCAAATTAATTCGTTAATGGTCCAATTAGGCCCATTAAGGGTAAACGAATTTATTTTGGACCCAAAATGGCCCAAAATGCTAAGTTTTATGGAAGTGGGTCCAATTAGACCCTAATTAGAGAATCCTGGTCCATGATGAACTTGAGCCGGGATTTCTAGGGTTTCCAACCCTTATTTGAACATATGAGATGTATTTGAACGAGGATAGATTATAGTAGAATTCACTTAGCAAAATGCCAGTTGTGACATATGTGAAACCCTAATCGTCATTTCATGTGAGGTGGTTACTGTTGCAAGTGACTATGACCTGTGATCGAGTATTGGATCAAGCATCTTCTGTAGGTGACTGGAAGTGAGTCGAAGTTGGTAGAGTTCTTTGTTGCTACAATAATTATCTATACGCATATCGAGGTGAGTTTCGCCTCACTATACCAGTGGGTCGAAGGCACCAATGTCGGCCCACTAGTTTTGGTTATCTGTTAGTAGAGGGATGCCCTAGGGAATTTATATAGTCATGTAGGATAGAATGAGGACTCTTGATCTAAGCTCTCTTACCTGTTCCTTGTTTGGTTGTGGTTCTAGAGTAGGATCGCCTGTCCGGGTAACTATCTCACCTCTGAGTATATATAGCCATGCATTCCTTGGATTGCTGATGTTTAGTATGCTGCTATGTTGTACTGATCTGTTAGATCAGTGTTATGGTATGGAGTATGCTGCTATGCTGTAGTGATCTATTAGATCGATATTCTGGTATTGAGTATGTTGCTATGCTATCGGGATCTGTTAAGTCTTTGTTCTGGTATTGGGTATGTTGTTATGCTGTAGTGGTGTGTTAGAACTATTTCCTGGTATTGGGTATGTAGCTTTGTGGTAACAACTTGTAGAATTGGATGTTATTTGTGCTTGCTGGTTATCATCTATGGAGTGCCCTTAGGGACTGTCTGTGGTCATGTAGTATAGCCTGAGAACTCTTGGTCTAGGCTCTCTTGCATGTTCCTTGTTTGGTTGTGGCTCTAGAGTAGGACCATCTGTTCGGGTGGCTATCTCTCCTCCGGTTACTTATGGTTACACATTCTATGGGGGTTAGATGGTAGCAGGATTATATGTTATGAGAAGATTAGTAGGAAGTAGTGAGCTATATGATTACTGTTTGCCTGTTTTATGTGTCTACTTTATCCTGATTGTTTATATGTCGACATATTATGTTTGGTTTCGGTTGGAGGCGGTCCTGCTTTGTGCGGTAGGCCAAGATACCCGGTGCGGGCCGGCTGTAAGCCGTAGGCATGGAGGCTCAGGATGAGTGATTTGGGTTGAGGCGGCCTAGTGTAGACTGAAGGCCAACAGACCCAGGGCGGACCAGATAGACTGCATGCTAGGAGGCCGTACCAGTCTGGCCGAAGGCCCGGAGAATGGTCCAGATAGGCTGAAGGCCCGGTGAGGCGGTCTAGTCATACTGAAGGTTCTATATGCATGATATTTGTTATTATGATTATGTGGTGGTATTTTGGGGGAAACTCACTAAGCTTTGGGCTTACAATTTTGGGTTATGTTTCAGGTACCTCAGTTGATCGCGGGAAGGCGAAGGCTTGATCGTGCACCTCCTCGTGTTTTGTGTTATGATTTTGGGAAAACTCTGATATTAAACATGTTTTGAAAACTATGTTGTACACAAATATGATTTCTGGTTGGTTTAAGAAAAGTTTAAATTTTCATGAATTTTATAGGTGTTACAAGTTGGTATCATAGCCTTGGTTTGAGCGAATTGGAGGAACACTCATGTGAATCCAGTCTCAAACTAAGGAAGAATATATTTTTTTGAATGTTGACGGGAAGATAGATATTAGTTAACAGGAAGATAGATATTAGTTGATAAACCATGGTCATTCTTACCTTGACTATTTCAGATGTTGACCGAACTAAAATTCACGATTTTGTAATGCATAAAATGATTGGAAATAGTGTAATAAGGTTGTACGACTTTAAATTCAACATTTGACCAAATATGATTCATAAGGTATAATATATATATATATATATATATATATAAGGAATGTGAACAAGTCGTGCTAAGCATGACCCACGAATGGCGTAAAATTTTAGTCAAACGTATGAACAATTCATACGGAATATGTTGCATAACTTCATAAAAGCACTATGCTAAGCATGAGTCAATAGTACAGTTGAAACAAAATATATTCGACTTTAAATAATACCAGTAATGTGTAGATACCAAGTGGATATCTTTGGACATGTATGGATACACATTAGGGATGTCATTTATTTATGCAACCTTGTGCTTACATAAAACCAAAATTCTTGTAATTTCAAGACTAGATCCACAAAAGTAGTGTTAACCGTCTGAGAAACCATAAAGTGTCATAAAGATGCATCACCCATACAAATTGACATGAAACAAAAAATAACAACCAATATGGTATATAAACACAAGACATCATGTTTCATAAAAAAGATATCTGGTAGACATTTTATAATTTTCAAATATATGGGAGAATTGCACATTATACTCTATCCAAGATGAAAAAACACATTCAATCTATACTAGTACTAATCAATACAAATCAACCCCGAATACTAAATGAGAAATTTATATGCAGAATCAAGGACACAAATGGACATGTATTAGCATCTGCATATTGTAGTTTCATTTTTTCTTATAAAAAGTATATATTGTTGGTTAAAAGTTAAGATGTTCCATCCCTAGATTACCTAGAGCCTTTCATCTTTTACATTATCCAAAATCTTGAAATCTACCAACAAAGCGCTGAACTTTTTGCCTTCTTAAAACTCTCTATAGTTGTCTACCTGGGTGAACAAAACTATCAACTTTGTAAATTATTGAACTTGTATTAAGTGGATGTTAGGATCATTTTCATAAGTAAATTTGGTTCTAAATAAACTAGTATACTTCTATAATCAATAAACTTATTTTGGGATTCATAAAAATACATCTACATTGAAAAAGTGAGAAAAATGAAGATGAAAAACTTATAGTGTTGGTGTGGGGTGTCGAAGTAGTTCGGCTAAGCCGGAAAGAAAGAGTTAGATCCTCTTTGAGATGAAATGCGGCACCCCCATTTAGAAAGAAGGGCCGAAGTTTTTGGGCCTGTAGCTTTACCCGTCCCCCCTGAGTCGGGCGGTGCTTGTGTGGGGGGTGCGCCACCAGAAATCGGGCTTGAAGCTCTCACCTTACCAACGAGCCGACAGCTGATGGCTGTTGGTCACGACTACTACAAAAAAGCCCCAATGAAGATGAATATTTCACATGGAGGAGTGTGCATCTTTATGTTGGGTGTTCTTCTGTCGTGCGACCCGGCGGCTTATGTGCGACCTGTGGCCCACGCCTCCTATTTGTTCAGGGCGGGCGGCGTGAACTCTGATTCGATCCGGGTATTCAATCCCGCCGCTGAGATGCTCAGTTGACTCCTTAACCTTGATAGGAAGATGGCTTATTCAATAATTCGTGCATAAGGGTAAGGAACTTTGGATGAACTAATGCGAATGGGTGTAAGCCTCGCTGCTCGGAAACACCCAGTGCTGACCACACTGAGAGACACGAAAGCGCAGGTAACGCCAGTTGGCGAAGTGGCGTTAAGCATCCCTAGCGGTACGAAAAGAGAGGTCGTGATGATATCATCTACGTCCGTACCGCTCCTCGTGGAGTAGATCCCGCATCCAACCAAGTCTTTGACCAGGGAACGGGATAACTCTTCTAAGAAGGAATGATTACCTGGTAAAAGCTTGAAGCTATACCCTTTTCATTCAAGTTGAGCTTCGATCCTAGAGAAGAAAGAGAGAGGGTTTACCAGCAGTGTACACCTTCACCCTCTGGAAGAAGAAAGAAGAAGGTGACGTGGGGAAGAATAAGAGGTAGAACTAAGAGAATAATAGAGTCGATGGTGTCTTCCAGGAGATAAAAAACAAGTGCTCTGGGAGTATTGGAAAAGCAAGAAAAAGGCAGAGGAGGACAACAACCTAGGTGTGTGGAAAACATGCATTAGGTGACAGAAGCGGAGACGCACCATTCACGAGCCCAAAAAAATTGCATGCATGAACTACACGATCAAAGTATAATGAAATAAGGTTTATATATATATATATATATATTATATATATATATATATATATATATATATATATATATATATATATATATATATATAGTAGGTGTGCACCCGCCCAAAGCGGCAACGACAATTATTACTTTTTCAACGAATTGTTTTTTTTTCAGAAAATGTTATTTGACTGTTTCAATGGCCACAAATTTTCTAGCTGATATGTTAGAAAAGATTTCATGTCCAACCTTTGGACAAACATCATGCCTACATTAAAAGAGAAACAAATTTAATTGATGTTCAATTCTTAAATATTTTTGTTGATTATTCTTTACCATAATTAGTTTTTGTTCTTGAAAAGATGAGTGTTTTGTGCATAAAAGATTTGTACATTAAGTTATCAAACATGTATCTCTTAAATTTCAAAAAAATCTCAATATGTTTTATAATATAGTAAATATATATATATTTTATAATATAGTATATATATATATATATATATATATATATATATATATATATATATATATATATATATATAAGAAATACACTAAACAATATATATGATGTAATTGTAAGTAAAGATAAAAATACCATATACAAAAAATGTTTTTTAAAAATTAAATAATTTAAAAGCAATAAAAAATATTAAAACAAGAACAAAAAATTGAATAAGATGGTATCATATAAGTAGAATATTTATTAAGTAACTTGTTATTAAAAAATAAATTCAACTCTTGAATTTAATTAGAGAAAAACTATTGTTTTATAAATACAATCCTATAAGTAGAAAACTAGTCATTGTATGATATGGTATCATATAATAAGTCATGTACAAAGTTTTGGAAACTTTGGTTAACCCTGATTAAATCAATGACTTACTCTACCATAGTTAAAAGACTAAAAAGCAACTTGTGTCTTCTTTACGGCCTTATTGTCGTAACTTTCTAGAGAGATGGAGGTTTCTTGTCAACCTTCATCCTCTTGTCCCCCATGCTCCTCTTACTAGCTAATATATTAGAGTATTTTATTGGAAATGCTTTACCTTGAATGGGGATATAAAAGTAGACACATTGCATGAGTTTGGAGCTATTTTTTTTGAACTATTTTGCTCTCTAATACACCACAAAAAGCTGTAGCTTTTTCTCCTTCTTCCTTTCTCACTTGTAGGTTTTGGTTTGTGAAGATTTAGTGCTTCCTTTGTTTCTTTCTTTAGTGCTTATTTGTTAAGCACTTAAAGGATTAAATAAAAAAGTAATACAAGAAGAAAACTAGCATTTTCGGTACCTTATTCTTGTTGGTGGATTTCTTGTAGAGAAGATCAAGCTTCTTGTTCTTACCATCTACTTCAACACCCCAAATCCAAGAGGGTCCAAAGGCTTCAGAAGGTGTCATTTATAAACACCCTATGGTTGTTTTATATCATTCTAACATCTTTAAAATGATCCTTGATGGTTTTGGTTTTTTTTATATACTTGAAATTTACTAGAAATTTTTAAAGCTTCCATTTTCAGTTTTTGTGAACAACTCTCTATTTTATGTATCAAAACCCATCAGTGGTATCAAAGCTATCATTTAAATGTTAGAATGATTTTCATTTTGTTATATTCTTTATTTTTTAGAAAACAAGCATGTATTTCTTTTTGGATAAAGAAATGTCCATATTTTTTTTCTTTGGCAACTTGTTGTTAAAAGTGTTCATTTTTTATATAACCATCTTCCATGAATTTTGGTTATATAAAAGCTGCCTTATAAAAAAACAAAGAGATGTTTTTTGATATGTTTGATATGTTTGTTGTGTATAAAGAAGACATTAGGAAATTTGTGGTTGTTATTTATTTATCCATATGATGATGTAATAGACAAATAGGTATTATTTCATTTGTTTATTTTTATACGCAATAAATTAGTTTTTAGACTAGTTGTCTTTTATTTTATAAAAATGTAACAAGATGGAGGATGAAGATCTTATTAGGATATGAAGACATGGAGCCTTTTGAAGACCTTGAAGTGTCCTATTAAGTCTTTTACAAAATGACTTAATATTTGTTGTGATGACTCACAGTAAATATTAATAGAAAAATGGCTCTTTTTATACACTTTAAAATGCATGCTTGTGATGTTTATTTTTTATTGTTATAAAATGTTGTATATATGTAAATGTGTCTGACATGCTAAAACATTTTCACAAAAATAACATCAACCTTGGGGTTTAGAATTTTATCTAAAATTTTCCTACATAAAATGTCAAAAATGAGTTTTAGTTAAAAAAAAAGCTTTAATTTTTTAGAACTCTTAAATAGCCATACTTTTAATGATATAAAAAGGTTTAAAATGATTTTTAAACTTAATCTAAACTCCAAAACTGTAAAATAAAAGGTTGTTTTATTAAAAAGTTAAAACCCGGTTCCAATCGTGCTAGCGTCGAATAAAAATTGAATATAAATTTTAATGGTAATTTTTTTTAAACAGAATTTTAGTTATCATCATACAACAAATGAGAAGGCAAATGGGCAACAAGTTGCACCGCTAAGCCCTTTTGTATGGTAAAGCCAATTCTTTTGAAGACGACATCCATAGATCTAGGGGATATAACATTGCTATGCATAATCCATTGTAGTATACTAAGAAGCTCCACCGCTTCCGACAAGGAAACCAAACATATCAAATGAAAATGGTATGAACGTGTATTGATTTTCCATGCACGGTTTCTCATGTTTGGTGACCTTGTATGTAGCAGCTTTTAATGCAGTCTGTCCCACTGTGAAACCCCCGACCCTCAAACTTACGAGAGGGGATACCCCTGTAAGGTCCACACATGCGTGTTTCCCTCTATAAATTTTGGAACACTTCAAATGTACCATGAACTGTTTTATGCATGAAATATTCATGATAAAAAATGTTAGAAAATGCTAGAATAATAAAACATTGATAAAATCCCTTATTTTCGAAACTTCATATCTATGCAATCCACTTAAAAATCACTTAGCATATTTGTGCAACTCTTGTGGATTTTAGGGTTACCTTATTCATTTGGGTTATAAAAAATGGTCATAGTGTTTTATATTTACTTATGGGATAAAGATCACCTAACCATTTTTGAAATATAATTCATATGTTTTTTCAGAAGGATGATTTTGATCAACTTCTTATGTGATAAAAGTCACCTAAGAATAAGAGTTTTGATGCATAGATAGAATGAACATGCCATTAAAAACAAAGTAATGCTTTTTTTTGGATCCCATTAATCTAAGCGTTGCAAAAGAGTTGTTGTAATTGGTTATCACAACCTACCGATCAACAAAATCACTTGTGTTGTAGCTCACCACCTCAAGTTATTTTAGGCGAAGTGGTTTAGATTTTCAAATTTAATTATAAGGGTAATTAATTTTAAAAAGAAATTATATCAAAGATATTAAAATAAATCTTATTATTTTGAAGATGACTACACCAACTGTAACCACCTCATCACTCACCATTTGATCCATCCTTGAAAAAGCAAAACTAAGTGGACCCAACATTCTTGATTGGTTCATACAACTAAGAATTGTCCTCAGGCTTGAGAAACATGATTATGTCCTTGATGAACCTATCCCGGAAGAGCTCTCGGCCAATGCTGACAAAGCATTGAAATATGGTCGGGCGAAACATATAAATAATTCTAGCGACGTGGCTTTCATCATGCTTGCAACTATGACTCTTGAGCTTTAGAAAACTTTTAGGTTCCATGAAACATTTGACATGATTGAGCAACTTAGAATCATGTTTCAAGTTCAGGCTAAGAAAGAGAGGTTTAAGACCTTGAATGCTTTCATTGGTTGCAAGATGGCTAAGGGATCTGCTGTGACTGCACAAGTACTCAAAATGAAAGCTTATGTTGAGCAGCTTGCCCGCCTGGGATTCCTATTTGGGGATGAGCTAGCGACCGATGTGATCCTAGCCTCATTGCCAAAGTCATTCAACCAATTTGTGATGCACTTCACAATGAATAACTAGGAGAGGAGCATTAATGAGTTTCATAACATGTTCAAGAATGTCAAGGTAAACATCAAGAAATCCGAGAAAAATCAAGTGTTGATGATCCACGAGGGTCAAATCTCCAAGAAGAAAACCGGTAATTATACCAGTAAGGGGAAAGGAAAAGTTTCCAAGAAAGGTAAGGGGAAAGGAAAGGGTTAAGGGAAGCCACCTGCTACCAACCCAACTCCTAAGAGCAGGCCTGCTGTTGACTCTGATTGATTTCACTGCAATGTAAGGGGGCACTAGAAACACAACTGTCCCAAGTACCTAGAGGAACTTAAGAAGAACAAAGCCAACCAGGTTGTCACTACATGTATATATGTGATTAAATTATATGTATTTCATACT